GATCTGTTGAAAATGAACAAATTATTATTGAGATTAAATATTTCACAGAGTACATGGTATTGGAATTAATTCATTCTATAGAACGTGGAAGAAAAAAACCACTTTATTATTCCCTATATCTTATCGATATGGTAATGTTTTGAACCTTTAAATTTTAATTTTTGCAGAGAATAATTTTATAACTTTTCTTATTAAAAAATCACCTCATATAAATTATAAAATCCCTTTATGTCAAGTTCCTTTACTTCTGATCACCGGATTATACCAATTCTTGTGTTGGCCAGTTCCCAGTTATTTCTGGGGGTAAATATTCATCACCACCCTCATACCTGTAAGCATCTTAAATGTTATTATCTTCTTTTGAATGTTGTACATGTATATTATGATAATATTGTTATTCGTTGATTTTACACATTTCTTTATACAAGGTAGTTTATTTTGAAACTTCACTCAAAGAGAGCACACACCTTTCCTGCCCGAGTTGTCTCACACATTCACTCATTTACACCCATTTGCACACTAACTAGCTGTGGGAACCAGAATGTTTTTTAATTAAGAAGCTTTTTAGCTAATAAACATGATAAAAAATTACTTTGCAAATTCCACTTCAATAAAAATTGAATAGTGTAGCTCTATTGAGAGCTCAAGTCCCATTTTTCAGTGAACTCAGTTGCTACATGTACACACAATATAGACAGGAGAGCATGCACTGTAACTAAAGATACACTTGTATGGTAGCGACGCGTATTAACGTTCATTCAAAAGCCACATATGGTCTCAAAGTAAATGGTTTGCGTACCATTCTGGAGCTAATGTGCAATTATACAATTATTTCCACTGCATAATAGCTACAAGATGGTGTTGGAATATCTTGAACGATTACTACAAGAAACAAAACCATTTCACCCGTCTAGAATTCAATAAATATTTAAGGGCATTAACATTATTTAACTAAGAACATTAAAAGAGCAGACTCTTCTTAATTAAGGAAAGACAGAGAAAAAAGTTTTAGACTAAAAGAAGTCTAACATATGGCACAATACAAAATTTTTGAATAACACAGATTGAATAACTAAACATCTACATTTATAGGCACATATTACACTATACAAATGTGTATGAATTTACACAGAGAATATACATGTGTGTGTGTGTGTGTAATTATATATATATATATATATATATATATATATACACACACACACACACACACACACAGTTGTTCAACTATTTACATGCACATTATTATTATTATTATTATTATTATTATTATTATTATTATTATTATATTATTATTACACTGTACAACATATCCGATGTTAACTAAAAAGCTCCTTAATCATTCTAAAAATCATTACTTAAGATAATGCTATGGTTTTATAGCATAAAACATAAGAATAAATGAATGATCTTCAAACTTATGAGAATGATTGGCTGCATTCAATGAAGGGGGATTAGTTTAGATCATAACCTGTCAACAAAAGTACTTTACCAGCTTCAGTTTTCTAGTTTTGGATGATGTATCTCAGTATGGGCAATTGATGTACTGTAACTAAGTGCCAGGTCATTGTGAGTTATTTTTTCCAATTTAATATGAAGATTTGTAGCAATGTTATCATAATAATCCCCCCTTGTATGAGTACAGTCATATAACATCTACAGCCCCACTCACACGCAACTGACACACCTTCCCATTATAAAATCCAAATATTGTATTTGCCAAAAGCGAAGTGATCGCTGTGAAACTCACATTGTCCTCTGTCACGTGATCAATGGGGGTATTGCCAGAGATACAGGGGTACAAGTCTCCAGAAATAGTGAGTTTGAAGGAAATAATATAATAAGGAAAAACTAATGTTTTAATAGAACTATAAATAACTCAATTAAAATAAAATTATTTAACAATATCTGGATATATGTATGTACATAAGAAGAAGACTGTAATATTCAGGTGACTTTTCCACATTACAAGATAATTCATCGACACACAGTCATCGACACAGAAACATTCCTACAAGCGTAAAGAAATTAGCTTGGGTAATCTGAGAAAGATTTCAAGTTATAACACTAAGATTTAAGTTAAATGTTAAAAAAATCTATTGTAATGACAGAGTCTAGTTTCATCATCAGTAATAAAAAATCAAGAGAAAAATTGCACTTCAATGAGAAATAAACAAATGGCAACATGTACTTTTTGTACTGCTATTTGAATACTGGCATAATTTGAAACAATCAAATACATAATTATGGTCTCTGATATGGAATAACAATATTCTTAAACTTAAAATTCAATTCCAATTAATTCACAAAATGTATCATTACTTGTACAATGCATCATGTCCAAAATGATCAAATTTAATCAAAAACACCAGCCGTTCCATCACCTGGAAACTTGTACCAGAGTTTAGCAGCCAATCATGCCCTCATCCTGATCACAGCATCAGCACAAATTCTCCTCACACTCTCATCAGAGCACAAGGTCGGGCAGGGGTGGTGAACACTAGGCTCGCGAATCTGAGTCGTGCACGATCTTGCGCTCTTTAAAGTAAATTTCTTCAGATTCCTTGTCACACAACAAGAGAATTACACCACCAAACAAGAAAATGGCAGCTCCCCAACCAACACCATACGCCCAACCAAACTCCCATTCATTGCGATTACCTGCAACACAAAATAATACATTTTACTGCATTTTCGGTAATTGCAAGATTCTTAGAAGACTTTTGGCATAAAAGGATGCCATATCCTTACATCAATTCTTTTTTAGTTCAGAATTAAACTACATAAGAAAATGAGTAGGTCATCTTCCCTCGTAAGACAAGGACAAAACAACAACAACAACAACAACAACAAACAAAAAAAAATATTGAAAACACTATTTAACCTGATCAATTACCCTTCATTCTTCCAATGTAAGATTAGATTGGCAGACAACTACAGAGAAAAGGGACAGATCTAGTAAACAGTGTAATTTTTTCTTTTACAATATTACACTGAACACTAAACACTCAATAATTACATAAAGGAAAAATGAAAAAATGCACAAATACCTGATCTACTTATTTTGGTAGCCATGCATAAGCAGACTAAGCACATGTATATGACATTTTTTTTGTATTAGTACAAAATGCTACATTTTTTAATATACACAACAAATACATTGTAATGTATTAAATTATTTAAGAATGGTCATATGCAATTTAAACACACCTCATCATCCATGAGGGACACGAAGAAATGTGAGAAGTATGTACAATCATGTAAAGTGAAAAAGTTTGAATACATCTATGATAATAAATACACGTGAACAAAATTAATAAATAAAGTGTATCATCTATCTATCTATTTAGCGGTTTTTTACAGCCTTGGAGCCGTTTTCCGGGCATACCCAAGTTTCCATGGCCTCTTTTTCTGTTATTTCTTCCATTCTCTTTTTTCCATGGCTTCAGTCTATTTGCCGATTCCATGTTCTTCTCGGTCTTCCCCGTCTGCCTGTTGGTATCCACTCCAAACTTTTTGAGGGATAGTCTATCCATTTCAACTTTCCTCATAGTCCATCATTCGTGTGTTTCGTTTTTTCGGTACGTTTCAGGTTTGTTTGCTTTCATTTATTTCTTATTTTCAGTGTGTTGCTCTTATTTATCGGTAACAGGAGAACGTTAACATACACATTCCCGCCAGAACATCATTTCTGCTTTGATTGAAAATTTGATCTTTTTCAGTATTCTTTCAATAGTGTCCAGATTTCTTGCGCCCATAGAGTGTGGTACTACTCTATGAAACGAGCTATATATGCGCTTTTCTTTGTTATTATTTGAAATACATTGAGTTCATTTACTTGGGTTTCAAACTGCCTTATGGCTATTTTTCTCTTATATTTTATATTTTTCACATTCTCCTGTTTCGTCTCTACCATCTTGCTTTTAGTGATGACTTCCCAATACTTATTATTGTGTTTACCCTTTAATCATATTCTATACTGTCTCTATCATTGGGGCATCTAAACCTCACTATATATTCAGTTTTGTGTAAATATTTCCATCCCCCATTCGTTTCATATCGTCTACTACATTTTTACTGAAACATAAGATACATGTATTCGTGTCCTGCTCAATTAATCACTGGCAAATGATAGAATAACAGGTTTACATCACCTATTTTCACACCTAGCTCTTCTTTTCCATTCTTTTAGGGCTTTTCAATGTATATCGATTTAAACTGTTGGAGATATACAGACAGCTTTGCCGTAACCTTTATTTTACTGGGAAAGTTGTCTGATAGGACATTTTCCCACTTTTACTTGATCTTTGTTATCCTTTATAAGTTGTTTGACTGCATTATAGTATGCTTGTTGATCATTCCTTTTTCTAATCATTGCCCCATACTTCTTTTACTGGTACATTCATCATAAGCCATTATTTTTGACGCGTCAGATGAAAATTATGTGAAGTTCTCTTCCTCGCTCAATTGTTTTTCAAATCAGTTGTTTGAGACAAAATATGTCAATACACGATCTTCCTGCGTCTAAAACCTACTTATTGCTCTTCTGAGTCTGAATGCTTGCATTCTCAATTCTAATTCTTTAGCACCGTACCATACAGTACTAACCAAAGATGAGTCACACTTATCCCATCTATAATTATTACAATCTTTATTTTACAACCTTTTTTGTAAGATTGAGATGTTAATGTAGGCCGCTAATTTCCATTATTTATCAGGTTATTA